ATCTCTAACCTGAGATCTTTGAGTTCTGACACTGTTTGAAAACTAGTGAGGAAGACCTCAGAGGCAAGGAGATCGGAACAGAGCAATGGTCCAGGTGAGAGATGATGATGCCTGATTTGGGGAAATGGCTATGGATACAGAGAGGAAATGGATTCCAAAAATATTTATGAGACAAACTGATAGTTCTTGCTGACCACATGGATGTGGAGGATGAGAGAGAGCACCCTCAGTGATGACTTCCAGATTTCTATCCCGAATTACTTACCTACAACTATTCATTTGTTTTCTTAGATTATGAAATCCTGTGTGTTATATTCTGTGTGAAAGTGGATCTGGTGTGGGGGTGAAGGTGGTCAAAGTACAAATTCCAGTTGTAAAATAAGTAATGGGGATATAGAGTATAGCATAATAACTATAGTTAATAATACTGTATTGTATATTTGAAAGTTGCTGAAAGAATAGATTTCGTTTTCTTAGTTTTTATGTTATATACATATTCATTTTAGAGAGAGGAGGGCTGGGGGGGGAGAAAAACATTGATTTGTTGTTCCACTTATTTATGCATGCATTGCTTGATTCTTATATGTGCACTGACTGAGGATTGAACCCGCAATCTTGACATATTGGGAGGACACTATCCAACTAAGCAACTGGACTAGGACACTGAAAGAATAGATTTAAAAGTTCTTTTCATGAGGAAAAAAAATATCTGTAACTATGTGTGGTGATAGATGTTAACAAGACTTACTGTGGTGATCATTTCCCAATATATTCGACACTTGTCGAATCACTATGTTGTAGACCTTAAACTAAAATAATGTTATATGTCAATTATATCTCCATTAAAAAAACGTTGGTCCAAAACAGATGGTCAGTAGACATATAAAAAGATGCTTGATATCACTAATTGTCAGAGAAATACAAATTAAAACCACAATGAGCCCTGGCCGGTTTGGCTCAGCGGTAAGAGCGTTGGCCTGAGGTCCGGAGAGACCCGGGTTCAGTTCCCGCTAAGGGCATGTACCTTGGTTGCAGTTTGTCCCCGGCCCTGGTTGGGTCGTGCGGTTGGCAGCCACTCGATGTGTCCCTTTCATGTCGATGTTTCTCTCTCTCTTCTTCTCTCCCTCCCACTCTATCTGAACAAAAAACAAAAAAAATGTCCTCAGTTGAGGATTTTTAAAAAATGTACATAATATAAATTTACCATTTTAAGCATTTAAAAAGAATAAAAAATAAAACCATAATGAGATATCACCTTATACCTATCAGAATGTCTATCATCAATAAATCAACAAACAAGTGCTGGCAAGGATGTAGAGAAAAGGGAACACTCAGGCACTGTTAGTAGGAATGCAGAATGGTGCGCCACTATGGAAAAAGCAGAACGAAGTTACTTCAAAAAATTAAAAATGGAACTGTCTTATGACCCAACGATTCCACTTCAGGAAATTTATCTGAAGAAACTGAAATACTAATTCAAAAGAATATGTGCACACTTATGTTCATTATTATGTAGTATTATTTACAATAGCCAAGATTTGGAAGCAGCCCAAGTGTCCATCAGTAGATGAGTGGATAAAAAAGCTGTGGTACATTTACACAATGGTACTACTCAGCAGTAAAAAAAGAAGAAAATGTCACCATTTTGCAACCTGGAGAGCATTATGCTAAGTGAAATAAGCCAGTCAAAGACAGACTAGTATCATATGATTTCACTCATATGTGGAATCTAACGAACAAAATAAACCGATGAACGAAATAGAGACAGACTCACAGATAGAAAGCAAGCTGACAGCTGTTGGCTAGGTGAGGTGTGTGTGAAGGAATTGAGCAAAAACAAAAAACCTCATGAACACAGATAACAGTGTGGTACTTGCTGGGGCAGGAGTGTTGGGGGAGGAAAAAGGATAAATGGTGATGGACGGACACTTGACTTGGGGTGGTAAACACACAACAGAGTGTACAGATAATGTGTTGTAGAGTTGTGCACCTGGAACCTATATAATTTTGTTAAGCAGTGTCACCCCAATAAATTCAATAAAAAGTAAAAAAAAAAAATGGTTTTGGGGAAAAAAAGTTGGTCCAAGTGAACTTTAATTAGATCAAAATCAACCTAAGACTAAAATGAGACTATTCAGCAGAACCAAAGGACCAAACCAAGAAATAGCAGCAGTCTCATCTAGGTAAACAGGAGAACTTGGTGGCCATGATTACTTTTAAAAAGGGATAATTGATCTTCCTCTCTGCATTAAAAAGCCATATCATCTCAGAAATAAACCTTTGTGCATATGGTCAATGGATCTTCCACAAAGGTGCCAAGACCACTAAATGGGGAAAGGACAGTGTCATCAACAACTGGTGTTAGGAAAATTGCATATCCACACACAAGAGAATGAATTTGGACCCTTATTTATACCACACACAAAAATGGACTCTAAGTGGATTAAAACCTAAAAGTAAGACCTAAAACTATAAAATTCCTCAAAGAAAACATAGAAGAAAAGCTTTCATGACATAACATTCAGCACTGATTTCTTGGACATGACACCAAAAACAGTCATAAAAGCAAAAATAAGACAAATGAGACAAACTTAAAACTCAAATTTAAGAACTTCTGAGCATCACTCTGGCTAGTTTTGCTCAGTAGTTAGAGTGTCGGCCCTAGGACCAATGAGTTGTGGGTTCAATTCTGGTCAAGGGCACGTGCCTTGGTTGAAGTTTGTCCTGGCCCTGGTCCGGGTCGTGCAGAAGGCAACTGGTCGACGTGTCTCTCTCAAGTCAATGTTTCTCTCCCTCTCTCTTCCTCCTTCCCACTCTATCTGAAGATAAGTGGAAAAATATCCTCTGGTGAGGATTAAAAAAAAAACAAACAGTTGAGCATCAAAAAACATAAATCAACAGAGTGCAAGGCAGCCTATAGAATGGGAAAAAATATTTGTCTGATAAGTCATATGTCTGATAAGGAGCTAATATCTAGAATATAGAAAGAATACCTACTGCTCAGCTCAAAAACAAAACAAAACAAAACAAAACAAAAATCCCCAGCCCTGGCCAGGTAGTTGGTTGGAGCATTGTCCCATACACCAAAGGCTGTAGTTTTGATTCCCAGTCAGGGCACATACCTAAGCTGTAGGTTCGATCCCTGGTTGAGGTGCATATAGGAGGCAACCAATCAATGTTTCTCTCTCTCTCCTTCTTCTCTCTCTAAAAAGTAAATAAGCCCTGGCCAGCTTGGCTCAGCAGTTAGAGCGTCGGCCCATAGACCAGAGAGTTCCTGGTTCAGTTCCCACTAGGGGCACGTGCCTCGGTTGCAGTTTGTCCCCGGCCCAGGTTGAAGTTGTGTGGGTGGCGGCCACTTGATGTGTCTTTTTCACGTTGATGTTTCTCTCTCTGTCTCTCTCTTTCCCCCTCTCTCCCTCTAGCTCTATCTGAAGATAAATGCAAAAATGTCCTCCGGTGAGGATAAAAAAAAAAAAAAAAGTAAATAAAAACATCCTTAGGTAAGGAGTAAAATGAGAATGAAATAACTCGATTTACATAAGGCTAGCAAGCAAATGAAAAGATGCTTACTATGGCTAATCATTAGAGAAATGCAAATCAAAACCACAGTGAAAAGACACCTTACATTCATTATGATAGCTACTATAAAAAAAACAAAAAAAAAATCCAGAAAATAACAAGTGTTGGTGAGGATGTAAAAAAAATGGAACCCCTGGGTACTGCTGATGGGATAATAAAATGGCACAACTACTGTGGAAAACAGTATGGTGGTTCCTCACAAAATTTAAAAAAGAACTACCATATGATCCAGCAATCTCACTTCTGGGTATATACATCCAAAGGAATCGAAAACAGGGACTCAAAGAGATATCTGTACAATCCATGTTCATATCAGCAACTACTCACAGTAGCCAAAAGGTGGAAACAAACTAAATGTCTGTCAAAAGATTAATGCATAAACAAAATATGGTATATACATACAATGGAATATTGCTCAGCCTTAAAAAGGAAGGAAATCCTATTATATCTTACAAAATGAATGAACCTTGAGGAAATTATGCCAGTCACAAAAATACAACTACTGTGTGATTCCACTTATATGACACATCTAAAGTAGTCAAATTCAGCCTGGCAGGTTTGGCTCAGTGGTAGATCATTGGCCCATGGACCAATGAATCTTGGGTTCAATACCCGGCCCGGGTTGGGGTCGGGCAGGAGGCAACCAGTTAATGTGTTCCTCTCACAATTGATGTTTCTTTCCCTCTCCCTTTTTCTCCCTCCCACTCTATCTGAAGATGGATGGAAAAAATATCCTCAGGTGAGGATTTAAATAAACAAAGAACTAAAGCAGTCAAATTCGTAGAAACAGAAAGTAGAATGAATGGTGGTTACCAGGGGTTAGAGGAAGGGGGAAAGGGGAGTTGTTATTTAATGGGTCTACAGTTTCACATTCGTAAGACGACAATGTTCTGGAGATCTGTTTCACACTGATGTGTATAAACTTAACTATTGATGCATACACTTAAAAATTAAAATGGTAGCCCTGGCTGGTTTGGCTCAGCGGTTAGGCGTCCGCTTGCGGTCCAGAGAGACTCGGGTTCAGTTCCTGCTAACAGCACGTACCTTGGTTGGGGTTTGTCCCCAGCCCTGGTTGGTCGTGCGGGTGGCAGCCACTCAATGTGTCCCTTTCACGTCGATGTTTCTCTCTCTCTCTCTCACTCTCTCTCTCCCCCCCTCCCTCCCTCCCACTTTATCTGAACAAAAAATGGAAAAATGTCCTCGGGTGAGGATAAAAAAAAAATTTTAATGGTAAATTTTATGTGCTTCTAACACTCACACACACACATACACACATACACACACAGCCAAGTCAGAAAGCTAATTACATCTAATAACATTCTTTGTAGCACAACTTTGTGCTAACATAACCTCTTAGAGAATATATGGACAAGATAAATATTAAAACATAAAAATATTTTATACTCAGAAAACTTTGTTACCTGCAACAAATCCAACCACCAGATCTTTTCCAGTAGTAGAATGTTGACCTTTGACCCAGACTGCTTTGAGGCTATTAAATGTGTAGAAATAGACAAAATTGGAGCAGCAGAGACTGGAGATAACTGGAAACCACCCTCGATATGGGGCCAGGCTAGGGAAAAAACAATAAGCAAAGTAAAGATGACGGACAAAAGCCATAAGAAATGGGCAAAGTCCTAGGAAAGGCAGATCACCATTCACATATTCTCAAAGTTCACTCCCATACTACAATGTACTCCACACTGTACATGTCTTACATTCTGAAGGATGCCCAAACCAGGAAATATTTTCTAGCACTATGACACAAAAGAAACAACACAATGGCTGATTTACTGCTTTCCTTTAGTAAATTACTATGTAAAGTTAAAGACAATTTCCTCATGGTTGTCAGCTAATACAGCATCATTCACATTTTATTACAGGACATTTAAAATGAAATAAATAGCCTTGGCCAGTTTGGCTCAGAGGTTAGAACATCAGCCCATGGACCAGAGAGTCCCGGGTTTGGTTCCCGTTAAGGGCACGTACCTCAGTTGCAGTTTGTCCCTGGCCCCGGTTGGGGTCATGTGGGTGGCAACCACTCAATGTGTCTCTCTCCCATAAATGTTTCTCTCTCTCTCTTCCTCCCTCTCTCCCTCCTGCAAAAAAAAATATAAAAAAACATAAATATATAAAATATATAAATATATAAAACTGAAAAAAAATATATAAAATAAATAAAATGAAATAAATATAGAAAATAAGGGCAAAAAGACAGAAAAAGGGATGGGGGAATATTATAAGAGCACAGGAACCAGACTAAGAGGTTCCCACCTAGAACAATTTGAGCATCAAAATAATAAAGTATAGCAATCAATTGTAAACCATTGGTAAAACAGAAACTTCTGAGTCTACACTGACACTATATAAAGTAACTCCTCATAGACTGCCTATAGTTGCAACAGAGGGGAAAAAAATTATTCAATGGCTAACTCAAATCTAAAAAAAATCACGATTAACCAAAGAGCAGGTGGACAATATGTGACTCCAGATGTGACACCCCGAGAAGGACACAATATCACCCATGCATTATTTTGGCCCAGAATACACAGCTTTAATCTAATCATGAAGAACCATGAGGCAAAATGAAAATGATAAACATTTTATTTTTTTTAAATGGGGGGGAGGACTGATCATATTCTTTAAAAATGTCAATGTCATAGGGGTAAAGGGCCTTGATATATGGTATGAAACTTATTCTCAAAAAATTTGGAAAAAATATGTGTACAGTGTGTGTATAATAAAGAGAGATGGAGAAGGAGAGAGAAAGAAAGGGAGAATGCATGAGCAAATGGCAAAACCAATGAAAAAAAGTGTTAATAATAGGTGAATCTGGGTAAAGCATATACTGCTATTCATTGTACTCTTTTTAGTTTCTCAATTTTTTATAAAATTGAAATTATTTCCAAATAAAAACTTAAAAGAAGTACATAATCTGTTTGAATGCATCTGATAGGAATGAACTAAACAACTATTACCTTCTTTGGTTTACTGTACGTAAAACAAAACATTGGTTTCATGGAAGACTCTACAATCAAGAATAAAAATGGTGAACCACAGAACTTGAAGGAAAGGAAAATAATTATGTACTTACAAGTCAGGCAATTACAAATTCACAACACTATAAGGCTATGAGAATGGACAGAAAAGAGTGTAGGCCCATGTGAATCTCCTATGGGGCTGCTTTTCCAACAGGGATGAATGCAGTAGTACTCACAGGCCTTCTTCTCTAATGATTTCCAGAAGCACCATGTGTGTAGTTTTGGACTTTCTTTTCTCATCAACTACAAGATGAAAAGAATATCTGTTATTCATGAACCATAGCATTTTAATTCAATACCTAATATCCGAAGTAAAAGACGTGACAAGAGCAATATATTTACTAAAAAAAAAATTTTCCCTTTATTGATTTTTAGAGAGAGAGGGAGGGAGAGAGACAGAAACATCGATGAGAGAACATCAACTAGCTGCCTCCTGCATGCCCCCACTGAAGATTGAGCCCACAACCTGGGCATGTGCCTTACCGGGAATCAAACCAGAGACCACTTGGTGCATGGATCGATGCTCAACCAGTGGGCCACACTGGCTGGGCAAGAGAAATGTATTTCTTATATTCATAAGGCTTTCTTGTGTTTTTTTACCCCTCTAAGGTTACAAATTCTCATTTTTATCTTAATATCTTATAGAGAGGAAATAAACTACCATATCTCTTTGAGAGAAGATGCTGCAGACACAAAAGCTGTGAGGACATGTAGTTGGTAGCAAAGTCAGGATTAAAATTCAAGTTTCCAAAGCTTTAGCCTTGTTTTGCTATTGTTTCCTATTCTAAAATAAAAAAGTCTCAAAAGGATGAGAATTCTACTTTTCTTGGTATTCTTACTTAAAACAAAACTTACCTCAATTAACTTCAAATTTCATACCCACATTTGAAAACATAAAAATATGAAAATAAACCAATTTCTCAATAATTAAATTGGTACCTATATGGTTTGTAGGGTGGCAAATTAGAAAACATATTTGGAGGAAATCTGGCAATATAAAAATTACAAACACATTTACCCTTTGATCCAGTAATCCCACTTCTGGGAATTTATCCCATAAAATTTACAGAAACAAAGTGGTACATGAACAAGTCTATTCTACAAGAAAGCAGAAACAACCCAAGAATCTCCAGTTGGCGTAGGGTAAACAGGTTATGGTGCATTCACACCATGGAACATTCTACAGCTAGAAGAAAGAAGAGGCTCCCAAAGAACTGATTTGGAAGGCATCCAAAATATGCTGAGAAGTGAAAAATGCAAGGTACAGAACAGTGTGAAAAGTATGCTTTTTGCGCAAGAAGAAAAGAATATATATTCTCATTTGCTTGTTATTCTTTAAAGAAACTATGCAAAACTATTTGAGAAACTAAAAAGAACATTATCTGCAGGGAAGAAAAAAGGAGAATGAGATTTTTCACTGTTCTGTATATATTTTTTAAATATTTTGTTTTTTAGTTGAGTCATATGAAATTATTACCTACCCTAAAACTCTAAAATTAATTAAAAATAATAGTCATGAGCCCTGGCCAGTGTAGGTCAGTTGATTGGGTGTTGTCCCATGCACCAAAAGGTTTCTGGTTTGATTCCTGGTCAGAGAACATGCCTAGGTTTCAGGCTTGATCCTCAGTGGGAGGTGTGTAGGAGGCAGCTGATCGATGTTTCTCTCTCACATTGATGTTTATCTCTCTCTCTCCCTATCTCTCTAAAAATCAATAGAAAAATCTTTAAAAAAATAGAAGTCATGAAGGGTTTTAACATAGGAATTAGTTTATTCAAAGCTCATCTTGCTCTTATCTCTTCATGGACATTTTGGCATAGGTTTATAATTTCAAGTTGAAAAACACTGACCAAAAAACAAGCAGGAATTAAAGAGAGTTGCACAGTACTAAAAGCAAAAGAGGCAAACTGGGAGTACATGCCTAGATGAGCAAAGACAGTGGGTATTTGGATCCACTATGTTTCCTATTTTCTCTTCTGAGAAAAATATACCCCCAGCAAAAATTCTCCACTGTGCCTTTTAAAAGTCATATTATTTATTAGAAAGAACAGAAATGATTCAAAACTATTAATGCAAGCCCACTCAGGTTATCGCAGAATAGAAAATGGCTGAGGGCTATGACTTACTCATGAACACCTCTCTATTAATTAGGAAATAGCAATGATGATGAGAATTAAAGTCAGTGAAAATGGATAATAATTCTTTAATAAAACATAATCTCCTTATGTTAGTTTAGAACTTACTAGAGAGATATGTTTGGTTCCTGACACCAAATGAACAGGAATACACTGACTACAAAAGAGTCTCACCTTGAAGTCGAAGTCGAGCTGTATCCAAAGGAAAAAACACTGTCATTGCTGTCACGCTGCCCTGGAAAGTTTGAAAAAGCTTTAGCCATTTACACATCACAAGACAATGAGTCACAACTTCTAAATGAACAGAAGTTCACTGTTAACAATGGGTCAAATCAGGTTTTCAGTGAACAAATACATACAATATTTTAACCTACTCGGATTATTATTGTTCAAACTTCTATAGTTATGTACTTAAACAGAAGTATTAAATTTTCCAGAAGAAATATCCTTCTACCTCTGATATTGGAAAAAATATATACAGTGGGTCCCCAGAGATGACAATCTTAGGGGTTTGGAACCTAAGACAAATGTTAAAGATAGCGGGTAAGTGGATTTTTAAACTTTCACAGGTCAGTTGCTGCTCCTATGCTCTGAAACCAAAATATCCAGCAATCAGACACATATTTCTATTCTCTGTGCTTAATCAAGATATTCACCACAAAGTAAGAGAAGTATAAGAATCACTTTGTTCTTTTTTATTATTTATTTTTATTGTTGACACTATTACAGATGTCCTCATTTCCCCCAACTTTGCCTACCTCCACCCAACCCCTGCCCACCTTCCCTCACCACACTGTTGTCTATGTCTATGGGTTATGTATATATGTTCTTTGGCTAACCTTTCACCTTCTTTCATCCAGTCTCCATTCCCCTCTGACAGTTGTCAGTCTGTTCTATGTAACTATACCTCTGTTTCCATTTTGTTTGTTACTTTATTTTGTTCATTAGAGTCCACATATAAGTGAGATCATATGGTATTTGCCTTTCTCTGACTGGCTTATCATATTGTTCTTTAAAATGGTTTTGTTTGCTGTGCTTTAAATAAAATAAGGATACTCTCTTTGCTAAAAATTTTATAAATAACTCGTCCAAGGTTACGCAATGACAAAAATGATTGAGGGGAAAAAGGAAGCCAACAACCAGCCTTTCCATTCATAAGACCCTGTGAATAAGAACCACAAGCATATAGTTAGGGGTGAAATAATACAAATGAAATCTCTCATGGGTTTATGGTTATCAACCCAGATGCAAGCCCACTGGTGGTGTACATTCTCAGGCAGAAGGTAAAGTTTTAGGTTACTGATTTAATAGTGGTTATGAACAGTATTTTAATCATAACTGGAAACTAAGTCAACTTTATAGATAAGAACAAAAATTTACTGGATCTCTTATCTATTTAAATAGGTCAGCCAATCCCAGCCGGATGGCTCAGCTATTTAGAGTGTTGTCCCATATACCCAAAGGTTTTGGGTTTGATTCCTGGTCAGGGCACATATCTAGGTTTTGGGTGGTATGGGAGGTAACTGATCAATGTTTCTCACACTGATGTTCTCTCTCTCCCTTCATCTCTCTCTAAAATCAATAAACATATCCTCAGGTGAGGATTTAAAAAAAATTCAATAAATAAATAAGTCAGCCAGTTGAACAGCTGACGGGGAGAATACTGTATTGTCCTATTAATAGTCTTTTAAAAAAAAACCCCAAACTCAGATTAAATGTTACCACCAACCCCTCCCCTGCCCACCAGGTTACAATTGGTAGTTCATTCCTCTACATTCCCATAGCAGTTGTTTATGTCTCTTACAGCACTTAATTACAGTGGAATCTAACTCTTCCACCAGATAGTAAGAATATTTATTCTCTTTAATATAATAGATTCTTTTATTTATTTATTTGTTTGTTTAATCCTCACCTAAGGGCATGTTCAATGAATTAGAGAGAAAAAAAAAAAACAAACATTGATGTGAGCGAAACACTGATCAGGGACAGGGATCGAACCTGCAACCTAGGTATGTGCCCTGACTGAAATCAAACCTTTGATCTTTTGCTATACAAGATGACGTTCCTACCAACTGAGCCAGGGTTATATAACAGATTCTTAGCAAATGTTTATTAAATTCACTCTATTTTCAGTTTTTTATACTTTGTGATGACTCCATCATAAATATTCTTTTCTAGTAAGGACTAGATAATATTTCATGTGTCAAGAGATGATGGACCCACAAAGTTTATCATCTACATATCTATGCTTTTGGCACTCTTGCTCCCCTTATAGGTAATTTCCAAGAAAAATGAGAACTGGAAAGCTAGAGAACACTAATTAAGGTTATTAAGTCTGTAGCATTTATTTCCTATTGCATGGCACTACATGTCTATGTTGAGTATTGTATAGACAGGGCCTCTCCAGGCAGAAAAGCCCTGCCTGTAAACTTTTTCAAATAAGTGGGCTACCTCCAACCCATTTCCCTGCCAGCTTAAAATTTTTTTCTTTCTTTATTAATTTTAAAAAGAGAGGAAGGGAGAGGGAGCGAGAGATAGAAACATTGATGAGAGCAACTGGCTGCCTCCTGCATGTCCCCCACTGGGGATTGGGCCCACAACATGGGCATGTGCCCTGACCAGAATCAATGTGGCGACTTCTTGGTGCATGGGTTGATGTTCAACCACTGAGCCACACTGGTCGGGCTATTTTATTTTTTTAGAGACAGAGAGACAGACATCAATTTGTTGTTCCACTTATTTATGCATTCATTGGTTGATTGTGACTGGGGATTGAACCCACAACCTTGGTGTTTTGGGATGATGCTCTCACTTACCCAGCCAGGGCCTATCTTCACTGTCTTGAAAGTGTCTTTGAAGCACAAAGTTTTTAATTTGGAAGAAGTCGAATTTACGTATTTTAAAATGTTATTACTTGTACTTTTGGTGTCATATCTAAGAAACCATTGCATAATCCAAAGTCATAAATATTTATGCCTATGTTTTCATCTAAGAGTTCTGTACTTTTAGCTTTTACATTGAGGTCTGTGGTTCATTTTGAGTTAATTTTTGTGTATGGTGTGAAGCAGGGGTTGAGCTGCATTCTTTTTTTTTATCCTCACCTGAGGACATTTTTCTATTTTTTGTTCAGGTAGAGTGAGAGGGGGAGAGAGGAAGAGAGAGAGAAACATCGATGTGAAAGGGACACATCGAGTGGCTGCCACCCGCACGACCAACCAGGGCCGGGGACAAACTGCAACCGAGGTACATGCCCTTAGCGGGAACCAAACCCGGGTCTCTCGGGACCGCAGGCCGACGCTCTAACCGCTGAGCCAAACCGGCCAGGGCTGAGCTGCATTCTTTTGCATGTGGAAATCCAGTTGTCCCTGCACCATTTATTTGGTACTATTTTTTCTCCTACTGGTATGTTTTGGCATCCTTGCCAAAAATCAATTAAATGCAAATAAAAAAATTTTTAAGGCTCTCAATTTTAGTCCATTGATCTGTCTATTCTTAAGCTAGTACTACACTCTCTTGATTACTGTAGCTCTGTACTAAGTTTTGAAAGTGGAAATTATTAATCCTCCAACTTTGTTCTTTTTCAAGATTGTTTTTGCTATTCTGGGTCCTTTGCATTTTCATATAAATTTTATCAATGTCTTGCCAGTTTCTGCAAAAAGCCAAACTGAAATTTTGATAGAGACTACTACTGAATCTGTAGATCCATTTGGAGAGTAGTGCCATTTTAACAATATTTGTATTCCAATCCATGAACATGGGATGTCTTTCCACTTATTCAGGTCTTTAATTTTTCAAAGATGATTTGTAGTCTTCAGTGTACCTACAAGTTTGTTTTTCCCCCCACATGTCCAGGGCGTGAACTGGGCACAGACCAAAAGCCAAACTGAGATAAACAGTTACTTTGTCCCTGGCTGATACGAGACAAGCACCACCAAACCAGGTGCAACTCTACCCAGGTCAAGGGACACCTAACAAATTTTAATATACCCTATCTGTGCTATCATTCAGTTCTAAATACCTTCTTATTTCCATCTGATTTCTTCTTTAACCAATAGATCATTCAGAAATGTTTCTTAGTTTCCAAACATATGATTTGGGGAATTTTTTTAAAAAGTTATCCTTTTGTTATTGGTGCTAGCTTGATTGCATGATTATTCAACAATGCATTTTGTACCATTTCAAAACTTTTTCAAAATTTAAATTTTGCTTTACAGCTCAATAAATGGTCAGTTTTGATAACTTTCCTATGTCTGGCTTGAAAACAATGAATTCTGTAGTTGTTGGGTACAATGTTCTGTATATGTCTATTAGGTCAAGTTTGCTACATACATTATTCCATCCTTTAAATTCGTGTTGTTTTTTTCCCTCCTGCTTGTTCTATCAGTTACTGAGATATATTAAAATCTTCTATTTTTATGCCAGATTGGTATAATTCTTAAAGTTTACTAATTTTTCCTTTAAACATTTAGACAAACATAAACATAAAATTGCTTTATTTTCCTGACATACTGAGCCTTTTCCTCAATGTCATCCTTTTGATGTCTAGTAATGACCCGACTATAAAGTCTATTTTGTCTGATGTTAATAGTTTTATTAGCTTTCTTTGGTTAGTATATATGTTTTGTGTGTCTTTTTCACATTTTTATTTTCAAACTTTCTGTATCCTTATCTTTTAGTTGTATCTTTATAAATAGCAGCCCCCCCTTTAAAAACCAATCTATCATTTTAACCAAAGCATTTAGTTAATTAATATTTATTTGGATTTTTAGTGGCCCTCTTATTTTATTTGTCATATACGCTCTGTGTTGCCTTTTTTTTTTTTTTTATTTCTATTTGACTAGAGATGTTTTCCCCTTCATTAATTTTTTTTCTGGAAGTTAATATATATTATTATATATATGGTTTCTATCCTTTTACAGACTACTGATTACAGCATACATTCCTAACTCATCAATTCTAAAAAAATTTAATATGTTTATCTTCCTCCCAAAAAAATTTAATTCAATTCAGTCCCTCCAACCTTCATGCTACTGTTATGTATTTTAATTCTAACTTCTTTTATTTCTTTTTAATGTCCACAAAATAATATTAGTTGATAGTTTTTGTTGTTGTTCATAACTTTTATTAAACCATATGCAATTACTTGTCTTCCATTTTGTTGAAGCAACAGATCAGACAACATTTGTCACAATAATGTCTGTCACAGTGAAAGTGGCTGGCAATAAAAACTCCAGC